ATTTAACTAACAAGTTAAAAGTACATGGGTCAAAAATTAAAAAGCAATAATATTCCGAGTAGAGGCTCTAATAGTGGCACAAATCAAGTTATAGAGGGAAGGTAGTTCTTAACAATAAAAGGCCTATTGACTAGCACTTAGTCTATTATAGTATAAAGGTTAGGAACCACAAGTTGTAGAGGCTCAACTATGCCATTTATTGTTCTTAAGTCCTGGACCAAATTCCATCTACCATGGGATTGTTTTACAGCTCAGAAGTCGGCACGGAAGGCAGAGGTGTGAAGTAAGGAACTGCTTATGAGGTTTTCTGTCAATTCCAACAACTAAGAAATAGTGAGAAGAGTTGGGACCTCAGAAGGCTTTTAGGACCAAATAGTAGGCTCTTGTGTCCAGGAGAAAACGAATATGCTTACCAGTAATGTTAATGCTCACCCACAGCTCTTCTGGGAGGATCTAAATAATTGAAGCATTGTGATGACATTTTAAGGACTTGTACTTCTTTATCTTTAGTGTCAATCTTCCATATTTTGTAATTTATTCTGTAGTTGTTCATGATCCTCTGTGTCAATATATTTTTTTCTGGCTCCCTGTCTCTGAAGTAGTCACTATATTTGATAACTTTCTTTCTTTCTTCCATCTTTACATCTTCTTCCCTGGCTGTTCATATAATTCTACATCAATGTATTTATTCTGGTTCCCTGTCTCTGGGTATGTGCTTTATTTATGGCCTCCATTCTTTCTTCCATTATTCATTACTTCTTCACTAGCTGTTCAGATGACTCCACGTCAATATATTTCTTCTGCCTCTTTGTCTCTGGAATATTCACTTGGGTGTAATATACTCCACTTTTTAAAGAGAAGGCTTATTTCCCTCCCCCCCCCCACTGCTGTCTTGACATGTGAAATTTTACTTGGTATGTGTTAGGTTCTTTCTATTGTGTCTGCTTAGTTTATTGACAGTTCTTTATTTTATGTTACTGACTAGGTGCAGACTTAAAGAGTTCCCTTTATAGGGGAGGATAAGTTGCTATACCAAGAATCCTTTCTGTCCTGTATAATGAGAAAACTCACTTTTCCTAAAGTCCTTCAGCTTCTCTCTGGGCTGCAGTGTAGCCCTGTGAGAAACTCAAATGAGTGCTGCCCACCTCTTCTAAAGTTTGTAATTGTCCTTAGTGGTTCACTGTGTGGCCTGAGACCAATTTTTCACTGACTACTGCACTCTTTCTATCTGGAGTGGGGCTACTGGGGCACAGCCATATACCTCTATAGAGCTGTCCTCTCAGGTCTCATGTTGTTGTTGTTGTTGTTATGTGCCGTCGAGTCATTTGCGACTCATAGCTACCCTATGTACAACAACCCTAAACCCTGCTCTATCCT